GCCGGAGCCGGGTGCGTTTCAGCCGCCGGGTAAAAGGAGCCGCCTGTGGGTCCAGCCGGCGCGGAGGGAGCCGAAAGTGGGGTGGGATGGAAGTGGGAGGGGATGGGATGCTCCATCAGTGCCGGGACCCCAGCCCCACATCCCGCCTGTCCGAAGCCCAGCTCAGCATCAGCCTGATGGCCACATTGGTCCCCGCAGACACCCCCGGGGTCTTGTGGAGGGGTTTAGGGGACCCCAAGGTTTCCCCATGGCGCAGGGCTATGGGGCTGGTGGTGGCCCCGGTGCCCGCGGTGGCCTCGCGCTGTCCCGGTGGGTCACGGGGAGTTCAGGGTGTCCATGGCCCCCGGGTGCCCGCTGGGTGCTGGATTTCAATGGGGCCACCAGCGGGTCGTGGCTGTCACAGCCCCACAATGTCCCCAGCAGCAGGTCCCCAGGGGACGCGTCTGCCAACGGGGCCACCACCATGGTTGGCCACCACTGTGCTGTCCCCAAGAGCCACACAGCAACCAGGGGGACCATTTCCATCCCCTCTTTGGGTGCATCCCCATCGCAGAGCATCACCACCCCGGTGGCAACTGGGGACAGGGGATTGGTCAGGGCACAGGCACAGGGGGATTTGGGGTCTGTGTTTCACAAGCCCCTTGGATGCTCGATCGGGGTGACCCCAAGTTTAACCCCACTTACGGCGCCGGCACACGCTGCCCCCGATGCAGATGGGTTGTGACAGCCGAGAAGTCCCCCCCCGGCAGCACTGGCGAGGCTCTGACCGCGGCGGGGAGGGACGGGGGGGGGGGACGGGGACGCGAGACCCATGTCAGGGCGCGTTGGCTCCGTCACCTCCCCGCAGCGAGACGGCGGGTCCCACGCGCGGCGCTGGCGTGTCCCCGGGGGGGCCGGTGGCACTTGTCTCTCTGCAGCATCTGTGATGGCGCTGGGCACATGGCAGCCGGGGCCGTGCGTGTTGTTATGTGTGGTTCCCCCCCCCTCCTTCCTCCCCTCCCCTTGCTGGCTGGGAACACGGATGGATGCTAAAGAGCTGATCCCATCACACGGATGATGGCTTGGCCAGGAGGGGACTTGCCGCATCCTGCCTGGGTGGGAAGGGCACATCCCCGGGGGTAAAAGGCAGGAGGTCCGTGAGGACCACGGGTACCACCAACTCCCCTGCAAGGCTGTGGGGAGCCGGCGCTGGGGAGGGTGAGGCACGTGTGAAAACCTCCAGGAAGAGCATCTGAGAGAGGTCGGGCAGTGGCCAGCACCCCTGTGGGGCAGGGACCAGCGGTGCACAGCCAGAGTTGGGGCTGACAGCAGAGTGACAGCCCTGGGCCATGGGGTGCCACAGGGTGATGCAGGGACCAGAGCTTCAGGTGGATGCAGTGATGTGGGTACAAAGAGTGATGCTGGCACTGGGTACCCAGCCTGGACACAGGCACTCAGGGGTGATGTGGGCATCCCAGGGCAGTGCAGGGACCAGAACCTCCTGAGGATGCGGGCACCTCAGGGTGATGCAGGCACCCCAGGGTTATGCAGGCACCCAGGGGTGATGCGGGCAACCAGGGCGATGCTGGCACTGGGTACCCAGCGTGGATGCAGGCACCCAAGAGTGACACCGGATGAAGGCTTCATCCAGGCACATCCCTGGATGCAGGTACTCAGGGTGATGCGAGCACCCTGGGGTGATGTGGGCACCTCGGGGCGATGCGGGCATGGGGCACCCCTGGGAAGGGGCCGAGCTGAGAAGCTGAAGCGCAGCAGCCCCGGGTCCTTCGCAGCAGCCAAGAGCTTGGCCCTGTGGCCACCGCTGCAGTCACCAAAGGGCTTCACCCCAGGGTGGGGACAAAGCCCCGGTGCCACCCAGGGTCCCTTCCCCCTCCCGGGCAGCCCCTCCGTTTCTTATAAACGCCTCTGGCGATGCTGCCCCATGACACGGCAGCTCTGGGGCTTGTGGTTAAACCCCAGGGCTCCGGCTTTGACTCACACCGGATCCGCGGCAGAGAGGGGGCCTTTTGGCACCCACGGCTGGAAAGAAACGCTCACCCCGGGCAGGAGCGCCGGGCGCTTCCTCGCAGAGCCGTTTCCTATAAACCCCGACGGAGGGGACACGGGGCTGAGCTGCTGCTGCCCCCATGGGGTCCTCTGGATCCCGCCTGGAGCCGCAGGGATGTTCCCAGCCTGGTTTGGGGAGGATGGGGAGGGGGGAATCAGCTTCTGGGGGCAGGTGATGCCCTTCGGGGGGCAAAGTCAGGAGGAGCAAGAAGCACCCAGGGCAAGACATGAGCACAACCCTCACTGGACATCAGAGAATCGCCTTCATAACGCAGGCAGCCAGGGACATCAGGACGCTGTCCTCCCTGCTTGGAGCTGACCCCGAACACCCGGCAATAGGGAAGCAGCATCCCTGATCCTCATCCCCTCTCCGGTGCTGCAGGAGCAAGCGAGAACTGGTTCATTTTCCCCCTAAATGATAGAAATGCCGAGAAAAGAAAACAAGCCCCAAAACTGAAAGTGTTCAGGAAAAAAAGCGACTTTTCACCCACCTCAAAATAAGGGTTTTTTTTTGGTGGGAGAAGTCAAATAAAACAAAGGAAGCTGCTGTGGAGGAAACGCTGAGGTGCGACCCTCATGAGGGGATGGGGACAGGGACACGGAGCTGCAGCGTGGCCCCCATGGGAGGGGGGCTCTGGGGGGCAATGCCCTGAGCCATCCCTGGTGTTTCCGGGCACAATCCCCACAGGGATGCTCCCGCTGCCCTTGGACAGGCCGGAGGAGACGGACCCCATCCCTGGCCACTGCAGGAGGGTCCCCACATCCCAGCCCTGCTGTGGCTGAGGTGGGTCTGGCTCATCCCAGGTCACACCGGGGACCCGATGGGTGCAGCCGGATGCGTGACAACCCCCCCCCCCCCATCCCCCGAGAGCCCTGCACCCCGACGTGGGTCCTCCCACCCCCTGGTGCCAACGGGACCCCCACACCAGACCCCGAGGCATGGTCATTGCCACCATCCCGGTCCCCACAACCGTGTTGGGGTTTGCGGTGCCTGTGGCATAGAGGGGGATGCTCCTAGCATCAGCCCCCCCCCCCAGGAGCCCCCAGTTCAGCCCCGGGAGGGTGCCCCAGTGAAGGCTCTGTCACCCCTGGGGGGGGGTTGTGGGGGGTGTGGGGAGGTGGTGAGAGGGAGACCAAAACCACAGCCGAGCTCTGCGGTTTGAGCTCCCTCCTGCGAGCGCCGAGGAGGCGGCAGCACCGGGGGAGGTGGGGGGGGGGGGGGTCGGAGGAAACGGGGCCGCTCATACATCCCCCCCACCCGTCCCCCCATCCCCGGGCAGTGGGGCTGCAGTGGGGTGGGAGAGGGCAACAGAGGCACGGGGGTGCTGGTGGGGATGGGTCAGGGTTTCCCCATGCAGAACGGGGTGAAGGTGGGGTGACCCCCATGGGGTGATGGATTGAAGGCTGCAACGCGGGGAGTGATGCACCCTTATCCTGCTCATGGGGCATACCGAGGTACTCAGCCCCACTGAGCCTTGTGCCCACCAGGAGCATGGGCACCCGGGGTCGCATCCAGCCCTTCGCCTTCCCTGGCCCCACACACAATGGGCAGCAGGAGCAGGGCAGCCCCTCCAGGAGGTGAACAGCCCAACCCCGGGGTGGAGGCACCCCAAAACTCACCGAGCATCACAAACACTGGGCATGGGGACGCATCTGCCTTGGGGGATGCGTGTCCTGGAGCCGCCTGGTTCCTCCCACATGGCTCAGAAGCTGCAGATGGGGGCCGATGGGTTTGGAGGGGGTGTCAGGGGGGTCCCCACGCCTTTGGGGGGGAGCCCGGCATCCTCCTGACTCAGCGGCAGCCACCCCCGGAGGAAAGCGGCTCCGGGTCGGGGGTGGATGAGTAACGGCACCAACGCTTGACTCCCACCACGTGGCTTCAAAGCACAAGAGCAAGGAGCTGGGGAGTGATGGAGAATTTGGGGGTGCAGACACCCCCTTCCCACCACCGGCCCCCCTCTGCTCCAACCCAGTGCATTCCCAGTCCAAACTGATGAATCCACCCTCAACACCACCCTGGGGATGGATAAGGCCCCTCCAGCATAGGACCCTTTGCTGCATGAGCATCACCGTATCCCCCCCCCCCCATCTCCTCCCCATCTCTGCCTGGTACCCGGTGCCCAGCTCTGGCTCAGCCCTGGGTAGGGGCTGCTTTTCCTGCCCCCGGCCCCTGTCAGATGCAGAGATGAGGGTGTGATAACGCCGGTCGCATCGCTGCGCCGCTGCCTCGCTGCCAGCGCGGGGCCTGTATCTCCTTCACACCATCGCCCTGCAGGCACCGTGCTGCAGCGAGCTGGGAACCGAGCCTGCACCCAGCTCAGGGAGCAGGGACCGAGCGCCTGACACCCTCTGCAGCCTCCCCCCAGGGGCAGAGGGGCTGGAGAACGGTCACAACTCATCACATGGATGCTCCCTACCAGAGCCAGGGGCAGGGAGCTGCGGTTTCCCATCAGCAGCTGAGTTTAAGGGAGTCTCATTGCACCCGCATCCCCAATGGGTGCAAAACCAGCCAGGAACACCCCCCCACCCCACACCCCCCCACCCCCCGAACCTCAGGCACAGGCCGGGATGCTCTAGACCCTACAATAACACAAAGGAGTGGATCCAGCAGTGCTGATGGTGCAGTGGTACCCACAGGATGAGGGATAGGGCTTCCCTGTGCATAGGACAGACCCTTCCCACAGGCTAACCAGGATGATCCCATCCCAGCCATCACCCCTACCTGGACCCCGAGCCCTGTGGGGTGCCCCCCGCCTTTGCACCTTTAGGAGAAGCATCGGCCCTAATGACGTTGGTGCAAGCAGGTGATGGAGGCGTGAAGCCCAATAGCCCCAATGCCACCATCCTGGCACCTGTCCCTCACCCTATCCCCATTGTTGAGTGGCACCCATACCTCAGCCCCCCCCATTCTGCCCCATGGGACCCAAAGAGAGGAGACAGCTTCAGCCCCTCCATGGCATTTTGGGCACTGGAAAGGGTTTATTGGAGTTGGTGGCACTGGGGACGTGGGTCCCTTTCCCCAGGGATCCCGGTGCAGTGGAGGGGGGCTGCACCCAGCCGAGACCCCAGTGGTGCATGGGGAGGGTATGGGTAGGGGGGGACATGCAGCGTGGAGCAGCTCGGCTGGGGGGGATGGCGCTGTGGACCCCCCCAGTCCCGGCAGCTTTGAGGTAGATTGAACGTGGGGGGATAAGGGGGGACGGGGTGGGGGGGACTTAGGGTCAGCAGCACCCCTGGGCTAAAGCGGGGGGGCTGGTGGGGTGGGGGGTGCGTGGTCCCCACACTGGGGGGTGTCACGGTCAGGGAGAGCCCCCAGAGCCCAGTGCAGTGGTGGTGGGGGGGTCCATACTGCACCTTGGGGCTTGATTCTCAGCATCATTGTGGGGAGAAATGGGGAGGGAGGGGGGGCTTTTAATGGGAAAGATGCTTGAACCAGTGAGATGAGGTGAGGGGGACCAAGAAAAAGCAGCTGCCCCCCACCTCGTGCCCCCCAAACCCAACTTTGACCCGGGGAAAGGACAGCCCTTCACCTGCTTCCTGGGGGCCAGATCCAGGACCTGGCCCCTCGAATCCTCCCTGAGATCAAGCAGCAGCACCCAAGGGTGCAGATGACACCCAAGGATGCAGTCGGGTCCCCTCGGGATGGCGTTATCCTGCTGCCCCGACTCGAGCATCCGGACCCGGCGTGGATGCAGGGATGGGGCGAGGAGGGAGCAAAGGAGCCCCCCCACTATGGAGGGCGGGTGGGCTCCGGGGTTGGGGGGGTCTCAGTCTTTGTGTAGCTACTGAAGACTTGGAGGTATTTGGGGAGCCGTGTCGCTCCTCGTGTGTTTTCATGCAGCATCCAAAGGTCGGGGAGCAGGGGCTGGGGGGGGAAGGCTCAGATCTTGCTGTTCTCGAGGTGCGAGTCGATGTGCTTCACCAGGGCATCGTCCGGGTAGCCGATGGGGAAGGTGAGCTGGCACAGCGGGCAGCTCCGCACCTCCGAGTCCACCGTCTCCAGCAGCAGCTGTGGGGCAGAGCGAGGTGTTGAGCACGGCCTGCTCCCCATGGGGTTAGATTGGGTTGGGGTGGAAGGGAGCTTAAAGCTCATCCAGCTCCAACCCCTGCCACGGACAGGGACCCCTTCCATAGAGCAGCTTGCTCCAAGCCCCTGTGTCCAACCTGGCCTTGAACACTGCCAGGGATGGGGCAGCCACAGCTTCCCTGGGCACCCTGTGCCAGCGCCTCAGCACCCTCACAGTAAAGAACTTCCTCCTTATCTCCAGGCTGAACTTGCCCTGTTTCAGTTTGAACCCATCACCCCTTGTCCTGTCACTGCAGTCCCTAATGAAGAGCCCCTCCCCAGCATTGCTATAGCCCCCTTCAGACACTGGAAGCTGCTCTGAGGTCTCCACACAGCTTCTCTTCCCCAGGCTGAACAGCCCCAATGTTCTCAGCCTGGCTCCATACAGGAGCTGCTCCAGCCCCTGCTCATCCTCGTGGCCTCTTCTGGCCTTGCTCCAACAGCTCCAAGTCCTGATGTTGAGGACCCCAGAACTGCACACAGTGAGGTCTCACGAGAGCAGAGGGGGCAGGATCACCTCCCTGGACCCCCTGGTTATGCTCCTTTAGATGCAGCCCAGGATATGGTTGGTTTCTGCCACTGCTTCCATATCCCCCCAGCTCCTCTCCAACACCCGCTGCTGCGCTCCATGCAGCAACCACCCTGCCTGCACATCAATGGGGTTCCTTTGCCCCCACCACGTCATCCCGGGGTGCTGGGGGTCCCCACTTACGTTAATGGAGGGCCAGGACTGAGCGTGCTCTGCCCGGGCGTAGGCAGCAGCCGTCCGGTGCGCGGCGTCGGCATCGGGGCTGGGGAAGCCGGCACAGAAGGATGCGCAGCGAATGGCCCCGGCCTCGGGGCTGGGCGGGCTTGGGAGCGCCCAATCCTCCTCATCCGATGACTGCTTCTCGAAGCGGACGTGCTCCTCGAAGGGCTCATGGGCGCTCAGGGGGGCCCCGGCACCCCCCAAGTACACCTCGCCATAGGGTCGGTGCTTGGGGAGCGTCGAGGCTTCGGGCTGGAGCCAGAGCGAGCGGCTCTGCTGGTACAGAGCCACGTTGCTCACCTCCGAGTAGCTCCGGCGGCCCTGGAAGCCGGCCTTGATGTGCCGGCTGGAGGGTTTGGCGTAGCCCAGCTCCATCCTGTCTCCGGGCAGGCGGTGCGGTGATGCTGAAGCCGGTGATGGGCACGGTGGCGGCACCGGGGACCGGCGCTGCTGGGCAGGGGATTGGCTGGACGGGGGCACCGGGGACCGGCGCTGCTGAGCAGGGGACTGGCAGGGGCCGGGGGCTGGCGAGCGGCGCTGCTGGGCCGGGGACTGGCTGGGGGGACCCGGCGAGCGCCGCTGCCGTGCGGGGGATTGGCACTGGGGTGCGGGAGGGAGCCCCGGAGGGGCGGGCGAGGGGCACTGAGGGGCGGGCGAGCGGCGCTGTGGGGCTGGGGAATGGCACTGGGATAGCGGGGAGTGACGCTGGCCTGCAGGGAGGGAGGGGAGAGCAGAGAAAACAGCCCCGTGTCAGGATGGAGGCGAGGAAAGCGTCCCATGTCCCCCATGCGCATTCGGGATGGATGGATAGGGGATGTGGCCGTGGGGACCCCCGGCGGGAGGGCTGCTCCGTGGGGTGGATGGTCCCAGGGATAGAATCATGGGATCAACCAGGTTGGAAAAGCCCTTTAAGCTCATCCAGTCCAACCAGCACTGCCAAGGCCACCACTAACCCATGGCACTGAGGGCCTCGTCTGCACGGTGTGTGAACGCTTGCAGGGATGGTGACTCCAGCCCTGCCCTGAGCAGCCTGTTCCAATGCCTGAGCACCCTTTGGGGAAGGAATTATTCCCAATATCCAATGCTAATAAAATAGCTTGCGTTGGAAGGGACCTTCAAAGCTCATCAAGTCCGACCCCCCCCCACCTGCAATGAGCCAGGAACACGTTCAACAAGACCAGGTTGCTCGGATGGTCTCGGAGATGGATGCTCTTGGGGAGGGACGGTCCAGGGAGGGCTGCTCCCCAGGATGAACACATGCAAGAGCTCATCACCAGCCTGATGACAAGGGCATCCAGCATGGTCTCCCCATTATTTGCCCCCCCCCCCCAGCCCTGCTTGGCTATGGGGTCCAGCCCCCAGTGTCTCCCCCCCCCCCCCCCTTACCACCATTGAGGCTCTTCTCCTGCAGCAGGGCACGGAGGATCTGGCTCTGCAGGGAGCTGAGGTTCCGCAGGCGGCACAGCTCCTCCGTCAGCTCCGTGTAGGCCAGCGCCAGGTTCACCCTGCGGCGAGGACGAAGCATCACTGAGGGCGAAGCAGCCCCTGGCTCCCCATGGTGGTGGTGGGGGGCACCCGGAACCCACGTTCGGGTTTGTCCCTCAGAAGGGGAAAGCTGTGGCCGTGCATCGAGTGCAACCGGAGGGACGTGGGAGCCGGGCCCCCCCCCACCTTCCCCGTGCCGCTCGCGGGGGCCCTGACAGAGGCATTAAATCCTTCCCCAAGTTGGGTGTCACTTCTCAAAGCCGCGTTCTCTGCGGTGATGCGAAGGCCCCGCGGGCCGGGGGGGCTCAGAGCATCCGCACCGAGGGGAGAACTGAGCTGTTGTGACACCCCCCGGACCCGGGAGATGCTGCTTGTAACAGCAGCTGACAGGTCTACCCCTGCCCCCCCCCCCCCCCCGGCATCGCACTTTGGGGGGGGGAAGAGGAAAAAGAAAAGAAGAAAAATTAGAAAAAGAAGAAAAGGGAAAGAAGAAAAAGGAAATGGAAATAAAATCAGTCAGAAAATAAGGGGAAAAAAGAAAAAAAAAGGAGCAAAACAGAAAAAAGAAAAAAAATGTAGAAAAAAGGAGAAAAAAGAAAATAAATTGAAAAGATAAAAAGAAAAAGAAATAAGAAGAAAGAAGAAAAATAGTTATAGAAAAGAAAAAAAGAGAAAGAAAAAAAGAAGCAAAAGAGAAAGAAGAAAAAAGAAGAAAAAAAGAAAAATGGAGACAAAAAAGGAGAAAAAAGATAACAAAAATAAAAAGATAAAGGAAAAGGAAAAAGTAAGAAGAAAAAAGAAAAATAATTATAGAAAAGAAAAAAGGAAAAGGAAAAAGAAGAAAAAAAGGAGAGAAATAGAAGAAAAAAGAAAAAAAAAAAGAGAGAAAGAGAAAACAGACCCAGAGAAAGGAAGAAAACCAAAAGCAAAGGGGAACGAGGGAGCTGTGTCCTGAGCCGGGTCCCCACTGACCCCAGACCCCCCCCCCCAACCAGCACCTCTGCCGGCTCCCACCTCTCGTGCCTCAGTTTCCCCCCTGCCGCCCATCGTAGGCACCGGGCTCTGAGCCAGGGCCCTGCTGCAGAGGCTGTGGCTGCTCCCCACAGCACGGGGGGGGTCCCATCTCCCCCAGCCCCACGGTTGGGTTTGTGTCCCCCCCCCAGCTCCCCTCCATGCTGAGGCGCAGGGAGGAAGCACCAAAACCGCAGTGCTGGGGTGGAGGAGTAAGAGATGCTCGGGGGGGGGGGGTGTGTTGGTGTGAGCACCCCCCCCAGCCCCTCACCCTCCAAAAGCAGGGACCTGTCCCATAACCCCCCCCTAGCCAAGGGGGTCCACGAGGGGTTTTGGGTGGTTTCAAGCCAGCAAAGGGGAGCTTGGGGGGGTTCTCGGTGTCGTTCGTGTCCCCCCCCCCAAAGGCGCTGTTTCAAGGCAAACTGCGGGTTTGATACGCAAGTGCAGATAAGCCGTGAGAACAAAAGAGCCACCGGAACGAGCATCGAGCATCGTTGCACCAGTGGGAACGGCTGGATCCCATGGGACCACCGGGGTCCATGGCACCACAGCCATGTATCCCCCCCCGCCTTATCACCCAGCCAGAGATGGCTGGGACCACCAAAGTGGGGGGCTGAGGATAAGCGGGGCACTGGGGTGCAATTGTGCTCCCCCCCCCCCAAAGCACCAGGAAGGGGGAGAAGAACTTGGGGGTGACCTCAAGAGAGTCCTGCCTGGTAAATAAGAGGTGGGGGAAGCCTGGAATACAAGCAGGAACGGCAGATGTAGGTGCTACCAAGGAGCTGGGGGGGCCCTGGCATGACCCTAGCAGCTGCTTGGCACCCCCCCCTTTAGGGCTGGGGAGCAGGGGATGGGGATGTCTCAGCTCAGCACCATTGGCAAAGGAGATGCTGAGCACCGTGGCACCTTTGGCAAAAGCACCAGCATCATTAAACCCCATAAAACCCCACCAAACCGGTGTCAGGAACGGGGATGAGGGTATGGGTCCGACCCGCCTGCACCCATCACCCCCAGCACTCAGCACTGCATCCCCCTGGGTATCAGTAACCTGGGGCTCCATCCTGCAAAGCATCCCCTGGTGCTGCAGCACCTCAAAAACACACCCCCCCCCCCAAAAAAAAAGTGCAAAACTATGGAAAAAAAAAAAACAAAACAACCCCAAAAAGAGGGGCTGAGGGACCCCCGCCCCGCTCGGCGCGCTGAGTAATTCAGCAAAAGGCACCCAGAAAAGTCACCCGGAGATGGAAAGCGCCGATAAAGCGTTTTTCACACCCAAAAAAGAAGCGGTGAGGAGGAGCGGGTTACAAAAAGGAGCCGTATTTACAAGAAAACACCAGGCTGCGGAGGGAAAGGCAGTGCCCGGGGAGGAGGGAAGGTGCCCCCCGGCTTAGGGGTGCGGGGCACGGGGCTCTCCGTGCCTCAGTTTCCCCACACTGAGGTGGGGAAGGGAGGCTGAAAAGCGAGGTGGGTTTGGGAGGTGTTAAGGGGCGCGTTGGGAGTTTTAGCTGCTGGTGGGGGCGGCCGATGGGGTGGGATGGGGAGCATGGGATGAGGGAGTGTGGGAGAGCCCAGCGTTCCCGGCTGGGAAACAAAGTGAATGAAGGGGAGAAACGAGCAGAGGGGGAACGGGGGACACCCGTGGGGTGTGCGGCACAGACGGGGCTGCAGCGCGGATGCGTCGGCGCCCGCAGCGCCCTGAGCCCCGGGGGAAGACAAGAAACGGCGACAGCATCCGAGACGTAGGGAAAAAGGAGGGGGGGGACCGGACACCCCCTGCACAGACCCCAAAACACCCAGCCCCGGCCCCGCGCGTCAGCTTGGATCTGTCCACAGCTCGACACGGGCTGCCAGGGTGTGAAGTCCCGCTCCTGCATCCCGGCCCATAGCGGGATAACGGGAACGCCGCCTCGGTGCACACGTTATGGGCGGCTGCTGGCAGGGAATGTCCCCGAACCGGAGCTGCTGGGGAGAGTTAGGGGGTCCAGCCATGGGCAACAGCCCTGGTTCAGCCTTGCCACATCAATCGTCCCCGCGTTTGGGGGTATCTTTACCCAAACCCCCCGTTCCGAGGTGTTCAGTCCCTGTCCCAGCATCGGGGTTTGCCCCGATGGAGCTCCAGGAGCTCATGGATGCAGCGAGGAGGGGGCCAGGATGCGGCATGAGGACCAGAGAGGAAGGATGCCCAGCACCACCATGGCTCCGCACCCATTACCAGTGCAAAAAGGAGCATGCCAGAAGGGACTGGTGCAGGGGTCGGTGGCTCCGAGGAGCCCGGGCATGCTCCTGGTGCGGTGTCCTGCAGCCATGGATGCATGGCACGGGTGGCACGGAGCGGTGCTGTGCGGTGACGGCTGCTCTGCGGCAGCCGCAAGCCATCAGTGCCCTCTGGAGGCAGCAGCACAGGCACCGAGCCGGTGCCACTCAGTTCAACCCCAAACTCCCGAGGTGCAGAGGGTGCTTTTGGGGTGCTGGATCCCCCCCCCCCCCCCGCAACACTTCAATATGGGGAAGCCCCCAGGGGTCCTGTCCCCTCCGGGACACCCTGGGTGTAAAGCAGAGTCCTAAATGCCACCAAACCCTCCCTGCCGAGGTGGGGACCCCCCCTATTGCATCCCAGCTCTCACCCCAATACTTACTGGTCGTCGCCCACCTTCTTCACCCAGGCCATGTCCCGCTCTGACTGGTCCTGGGGGGAGAGCAGACATCCCATTGGCACCCGGACCCACATCCATAGGGCCGGGGGTTGGTCCCACACGACCGATCCCTGCTCCGAACCTGCTCCCTCGTGTCCTGCAGGTGCTTCAGCTCCGCCTGCAGCCGCTCGCACTCGGCCTTGAGATGCTCCTCACGGTGCTGGGCCCGTTGGGTCTCCTGGCGCGCTGCTTCCAGCTCAGCTTCCAGCCCCCGGCTCTGCCAGCCCCCGGCACGCTCCAGCACTGCGGGCAGGGCATTGCTCAGCACCGTCACGGAGCCCTGGGGGGGGGCTCGGGGGGTCCTGGGGGGTGTCTCACCATGGGTCAGGCTGGGGTTGGGGTGCAGGGTGATGAAAGGCACCTCCTGTCCCGGTATCGGGGTGCTGAGCCCCGGGAAGGTGCTGCCGTCGCGCTGCCGTAGCTGCTGCTCCAGGCTCCGGATGCGGCTCAGGTGAGTGTCCACCAGCGCCCGCTGCATGGGGAGGGGGAGAGGGATGAACCCCCCCCCCCAGCACTGCACCCTCAGGGTCCCCATGGAGCTGGTGGGTGGTGTGTCCCTAGGATGTGGCCAGCCCCCCGGTGCTGGATGGGATGCAGGATGCTGGGGATGCCCACAACAGGGGCACCACAGTGGGGCTGGGAGCATCCCTTGGCAGAGCGGGACTGGGGAGGGACATGAATAAACCCAAGCAAAGTGCATCACTAAACCCCCAATGTGGCCATAATGGGGGTGAGCAGCCACAGCCCCCCCCAGCCCTGCACCCCACTGAGCCCTGCTGGTGGCACCACCAGCATCCCTATGGGATCTGCCCAGCTGGTGCCATGGGGAGGGGACAGGGATGTGTCCCACCAGCACACACCATCTCTCCCAGCTCCGTCTCCAGGTCAGCCTTCTCCACGCACAGCTTCTCATAGGCCTGGATCATCTCCTCCAGCTGCTCCTCACGCTCTTTGCTCTTCTGCAGCTGCAGAAAGAGGGGGAGCCATGGGTTGGGGGGCAGCTCGGGGACCCCCCCCCTTTGTCCCCCAGCCCCATTCACCTCGTGCTGAAACTGGTTGAGCTGCTGCTGCAGCGACGCCTTCTCGCTCTTGAGCAGCGACGTCTCCTTGGCCTCGTAGAGGGAGAAGATGTGTTCCTCACCGAACTCCCCGATCAGCGGGTACTGCAGCCATGGGGCAGGGCATCAGCGGGGACCCCCCGGTCCCCAGCCCACCCTGAGCCCCCCGTGCCCCTCACCTTGACCTCGTACATCTTGAGCCGGCGCTTGAGCGTGGAGTTCTCCCTCTCCAGCCCCGTCAGCCGGTTCTTGATGTCGTCGTAGGCGGTGATGAGGGCGAAGTGGGAGGCTGAGCACATCTCGCCCGAGAGGTCGGTGTTGGGGCTGTCGAGCCAGTCCTCGTCCTGCCCCAGCGCGTCCTGCGTCAGGATGCTGATGTCGTCCTCGAACATGGAGTCCATGTCCTGCCTGGGGTGGGATGGGTGGACAGAGAGATGGCTGCTGGTGACCCCATGGCAGGGGTGGGTATGGATGGGAGCAGCACAAAGCCCCCAGAGAAAGGCTGGGCTGTGGGGACACCGGATGCTCGAGCCCAGCCGGGTCCTGCCGATGGCTCCGGTTGGATATAAGGAGGAAGCTCTTCCCTGTGAGGGTGCTGAGGTGCTGGCACAGGGTGCCCAGAGAAGCTGTGGCTGCCCCATCCCTGGCAGTGTTCAAGGACACAGGGGCTTGGAGCAAGCTGCTCCAGTGGAAGGGGTCCCTGCCCGTGGCAGGGATTGGAGCTGGGTGAGCTTTAAGGTCCCTTCCAACCCAAACCATTCCATGGTTCTATGGAGCGGGGCTCTCGAGGAGCTCAACCTCTCCCATCGGCCAAGGGGGATGGAGGAAGGTTGGGCCTGGAAGCAGCCACCAGCACCGGCTCCAAGCCCGCAGCATCCCCTGGGGATGGGACAAGGATCGGGGGGGCTGTATCCCGGCATCCCCTGCAGGAGGAAGCATCAGGAAAAGCGGGAGCCGGGGCGGCAGGGAGCACCCCCAGCCTGGCACCGGGGGGGGGGGGAACGCGGTGACTTTCCCGCATCCCCTTGGGAGCAAGCACCAGGAATAGCACCGGGAGCCGGCTCCTCCCGCCCCGCGCCCCGCACGCGAGCTGCTTCCCGTGCTCCCACGCCTCGGCGGCAGCAGCCTCTGCTGTGCCCTATATACCGGGAGGCCCCGCCAGCCTCCCCCCACAGCTCCAGAGCTGGAACTGGGGACCCGATCCTGCCCATGGCCAGGATGCGTCCCTGCCCGAGGATCCTGGATGGTGCCCGGGGGGGGGGGGGGGATGAGACCCTGCAGGATGTGTCCCGGGGTGCTGGAGGCTCTGCAAAGCGGCTGCCACCGGCTCCGCTGTGGCTCCTTGGGTGTTTGATGGGGGAAATGGGCCCCATGAGTGCGAGCCCCAGCACCGGACCCCTGTGCTGATGGGCACCCCCATGGGCACCGCGGCGGCTGCTGCTCAGGCGCGGCCTCGCCGGCTCAGCCAGGAGCCGTCACCACACAAATAATTCATAGCAGAAAGCCGGGCGAGGGAGGTGACATCCGCAGGGTGATGGGGGGGGGGGGACAGCCCGGCCCTGCTCTGCCCCAGGAGAGGGGGACACAGATCCCCCCCATTGCCCTACAGCCGGTGCTGGGCAGTCAGAGCCTCCAGTGGGGCAAGGAAACAGAGACACCGGCTCCGTGCCCTCTTGTGAGGGCCTTAAATCCACACCGAAGCGGACCCCAGGGAGGGCACCATCATCACCCCCTTGGGGAAACTGAGGCAGCCAAGAGGAGCTTCCCCAAGCCCTTGGGGACCCCTCATTGCAAGACCCCATGAGTAGGGTCCGTGGCTACCCAGACCCCTGCTTGGGGGCTGGCTGGGGACGGGACCCCCTCCCTTCTTCCCTACCCACAGGGCCCGGCAGCAGCTCTGCACCTACAGCCTGGCCCGGTCCCGTGCCTCAGTTTCCCCCCTCCCTCGCCGTGTCCCACCATGACCCGTGCCTGGCAGCGGGCCCCGGGTGCGGGGCGAAGCGGTGCGGGCTGGGCAGGGCTGCGGCGCGGCCACGCGTGTCCCAGGCGTCAGCGGGGAGCAGGGAGAGGGGCAGCGGAGCGCGGCGGCTCCGTCATGAGGCTCCAGGGGCAACGGCGACGGTCCCCGCGGCACCGCGCTGGCTGCGATGATGCTCCCTGCACGGTCCCAGCGGTCGCTCCCTTCTCGAGGCCTACAAATACCTTGAAAGAGAGAGGAAACGGGGCTGCAGCTCCCCGGGATGCTTAAAAGGGGGGGGGGGGGATGGAGGCAACGGTGATGGGCGCTGGTTGTGCCGGGCAGCGGGTGGTTGGCACCCAGATGGCATTAGGGGGATCGGCACCGTGTCCTCAACACAGCCGCACTCTGGGGGTCTGTGAGGACCGAGCTCCAGCCCCGGAACCGGGCCAAGCCCCCTCCTCATTGCTTGGGGGGGGTAGGATCGGAGGTGCGATGCCACCGCCATGGCCCCGAGTGAGCGCAGACGGGCGGCGTGCAAAGGGGGCCGGGACCGCGGTGCCCGACCCCGGCAGCCCGGGGGGGGGTCAGCCCGGGCGTGGGTCCCGGGCACCGGATGGCGGGGGAAAGGGGAGGGGTTTGGCCTGCGGCGGCCCCGGTGCCTCGGAGAGACCCGGCCCGGGGCTGCGCACCCGCTCCGGAGCCCAGCCCGGGGGTCGTCAGGCGGGGACCAGGACCGGAGGTGCAGGAGGGGCCCGGGATGCAGCCAGGGATGGAGGCGGGATGGAGCCGGGGACGGAACTGGGATGAATCCGAAGATTGAACCGGGATGGAGAGGGGGATGGAACCGGGATGGAGCCAGGGATGGAGCAGGGATGGAGCCGGGGATGGAACCGGGATGGAGCCGGGATGGAGCCTGATGGGCGATGGGTCTGGGGGCGCGATGGGGCGGGGGGAGGCGGGTCGAGGTGTGGCGGTGTCGGTCCTGTTCCCCGGCCCGGTTTCCCCCCCGCCGGCCCCGGCCCAGGCCCCGCACTCACCGGCGATGCGATGCGATGCGATGATGCTGCGGCGGCGGCCGCCGGGATGCGGCTCGGTCCCCGCCCCGGCGGGTCTCGGTGCCGGTCTCGGTGCCGGTCTCGCCCCCGCCTCAGCCCCGGCCGCCCGTTCCTTTCCGTTCCGCCGTTTCTTCCGCTCCGGAGACACCGAGAAACCACGTGGGCACCGGGCGGCCGCCAGCCCCTCCCCCCCCCAACGCTCCGGTGCCGCCCCCCCCCCCCCCCCCCCCGTTTCCCCCTCCCGGGTCACCGCGGGTCTCCGGGGTGCTCCCAGCGTCCCCGCCCCCCCCGGAGCCATCCCCCCCCCTTCCCTGCCCCGGTGGGAGGACCCCGGACCCCCCCATTGCAACCGGGGCCACCCCCCCCTTCAACCCCCCCCCCCCATCGGGGCTGTGTCCGGAGCCTGGGGGGGGGGCAACGGCAGAGCCGAGCTGCAGGGATGCGCGGTGGGGGCTGGGCTCGGCTCCTTCCCCCCCCCCCCCCCCCCCGCTTTTCCAGGAGCGTTTTATTCCCTGGATTGTTCTCTCGGAGCCGCTTCCATTATGGAATTCCATTTTTCTCCCGTGGCTGCGCAGCGTTATTAATAGCTGCTCTCCTTTCGCCAGCGCTGCTGATGCCGGGGGCTCTACCGGCAAATCCCTGTGCTCCGGGGGGGGGGACAGATCCTGGCACCCACAGGCCTGCATGGACAGACCCATGGCACTGCACCAGCATTCCTCAATGGAAGCCCTCGGTGGGAATCATCCCGGCCATGTGCCTCCATCACATGACAGCTCATGGAAAAGGTGTCAAAATCAGACTGAGCTCGGCTTCACCCAGCCCCTGGTTCCCACTTGGGCACCCAAAAGAAGGGAAGAGCCCAGCTGAGGAGCTCTCATCCTAGATCCGGGTTCCTGGCATGGCTGTATCATCACTTGGATGGAGCCTGGGATGCTCCGAGGGAGCGCCGCAGTGATTCGGCACCAGCCCCAAGGCTGGCATTGCCGGGTACCACCCTTGGGATGCTCACATCTGGGGGCTGTGGAGCCCAGATGCAGCGCTGGAGGCTTTGGGAGGCCGATGGCAGCCGAGCACGGGGCCGTTCCCATTGGAGGTTTTGCCAGGGAATCGCCACCGTTGGCTTTAGCGAGGGGCCGGGAGAGGAAAACAGCTCCTGGGGGGGTCACAGCGCTGGGCTGAAAGGCGCCATTGACCCCAGGGAGTCCCATGGAGCCGGGCAGGAGCCACGGGGCTGGAATGTGCTGCAAACACGGCTCCGGATGCAGCCCGGTGCCAGCTCCCGCCCTGCGGATCTGCTGCGAGTGCTTTGAGGTGCAAATGAAGGCTTCCATCAGGTTCCAAGGGAATTGGGAACGCGAGGCAGGAGCCGCGCTGGGGGACAGGGCCTGATGCCCCCCCCGAGGGGCTGCACGCAGGGCACAGGGTGCAGGCATTGACTGCGTGTGAGGGATGAGCCTTGCAGGCACAGGGTTGGCAGCGGAGAGGAGGGAGGCTGGGGAAGACTCTGGAGCAGGAGCAGTGATCCAAGCTCCTGTGGTTGTCTCCCATATAAGCCTGGTCCTGGCATTTGGGGTCCCCATCGCACCCCGATTGCCAGTGCAGCATCCGGGAGTGCAGCTATGAGCAGAGCAGGATTCAGCCCAGGCATCCCGCAGGATGCTCTGCTCTTCTCCTGAGGCTTCATAGAATCACAGGCTGGTTTGGGCTGGAAGGGACCTTAAAGCTTCCTGGTGTTTCCAAGCATTTCTCTCCCACATTCCCACCCTTGCTCCACAATGGAATTCTTTATTCTAATGCATTTCCAGTGCAATGAGGTCTCAGCTGATCCGGTGCCTGTGATGGGGACTGATGGGGAGCAGAGGGAAGCAGGAGACTCCTCGGATAGCCTGTGTTACCTGGAGGCTGCAAGCTCCCTGGGTTCACACGAGGCCTGAGCCGTCCTAAAGCATCCATTGAACCCCAAAACATCACCTTCATCTTCCTCAGGGAGCATCTCTCGTTTGTCACCCTCCTTTACTAACGCTCTGGAGGAAGGAAGGAGCCTGTTGGGTCCCTCAAAGGCTTTACTTTGCCTGAGCCTTTGTTCAGTGCCTTCATGGCAGAGGATTTATTGGGTTATTACCGGTGCAGAACTCAGCCCTTTGGCAGGGGACACTTAAAATCCCCCCGGTGACACCGGGCAGCGTTAACTGGGGCTGAGGTTTTCCCTTCCAGCCCCATCAGCTCCGGCTGCCTCCGAGATGAGGCCAAGCACCGAACTCACCCATTGCTTCCTGCTGCCAAACAGGGTCCCAGGTGGGACCACGGAGCTCCATTCCCCACAGATGTGGTTGTTCACAGCAGCGCTTCCATCTCTATGGGGAGAACCTCTGCTTGTTTCCCCTTTGACTGGAAGCATCGGCCAGGACCTGCACATCACACCCGGGTTCCCCAACAGCAGCAAGGGGAGGAGGATACAGGGGAGCGTGAGCAGGGAAAGCTGCATCCCGCAAGCAGAGAGCAGAAAGCTCTGTAAATCCCTGTGCCAGCGCCCGTTCCTGATGGCACAGCCCTTCTATACCTGTGCTGATCCCAGCTCCTCTGGGCTCCGGCTGGGGCAGGGAAAGCCCCACATCCCTGCCAGGCGAGCACATGTGAGTGATGCTTTCGGGATGCTCCTTTGGGACAACGGGGCTCCCAAGTAGCCAACACACGGAGCATCGCAGGAGAGGAGCTACAGGAAGGTTCCCCTTGGCTCTGGAGCCCCAAGGCCACGCTGACGACCCTGTGCTGCCACCATAGGAAACCGCTCGCATTCAGCAAGCGCCGGCAGTGCCAGACAGCACCGGGGAGCTGCAGCAGCCCTTGCAGGAAGGCGCTGAGGCCACAGCATCACCTCTAGAGACTAGAAATCAACTTGTGTGGCTTCCTTTCCCCCTCCCCAAAGCTGCAGGAAATGGGGTCTTCTTTTCTTTCCCCTCCTCTCCCCATAGGGACACAGCGCTCCGGGGGCAGGGCTGGGGGGATGCTCCTCACCCTCATCCCGTTCTGCTCCACGAATCCAACCCAGCATCCCAGCAACGGGCGGGCAGGGCCGCGCTGTCCCCGGGTGCCGGAGCGGGTGGCACATATGGCAGATGACACAGTGCTGTCACCTCAGCGAGAGGAAACGGGCGAGCGTCACTCATTGAGCGCGCACCCACTCAGTCTCCGCAAGCTAAAGGATGCTGCTGCCAGCGGGAGACGCGGCGGGAGCTGGGAAGATGAAGCAGCAAAAATAAATCCCCCCCCCCCCTCCATCAGTAACAAAAATAAAGCGTTTTGGTTCAGTTTTTATTCATTTCGAAGGTAAATAAACCCATCCCCACCCCACCCCATCCCTTCGGCACGGGGGCCCTGCCAAGTGTTAGCATCCGGTGGGTGCAGGCGGTGCTGGTGCATCAGGGTGGGATGAAGGCTTTGCCATGGGGAGGCAGGAGTGGAGAAGCGCTGGTTCCTCCGCTACGGACAACTGATGGGTGGATAAACGGGAGTTAATAAAGGAGGGGTTTGGAGCTGCGGATGCAGGGGGGGGGTTAAAGGGGGCTTTGAGAGATGGGGTTAGAGAGGGCAGGATGCAAAGTCTCACCCTGGGTGCTGAGGCGCTGGCACAGGGTGCTCAGAGAAGCTGGGGCTGCCCCATCCCTGGCAGTGCCCAAGGCCAGGTTGGGCTTGGAGCACCCTGCCCATGGAACTGGATGAGCTTTAAGGTCCCTTCAACCCAACCCATCCCATGACTCCACACAAGCACCCGAGCTACCAAACCCCAGCAGCGATGCCCAGGCTGGGCTGCAATGGATTCCTTCTACGATCAAAGCCCCCAGTGAGCAAAACCAGCCCTAAACCAGGCTTTGCCCTCCCTCTGCAGCAGGAGCAGGGGCAAGGGGAAGAGGCGCTGCTTTTGAGGACACTTGAAATCAACCCCAAAGCCACCCCAAAGCCCAAGGGAAAGCCCCCCCCAAAACAAAGAGGCCGGACACGGGTTTGTTTCCACTACTATCTCAGTGTACTTTATTCTCCTGCTGTCTACAGCTGAACAGCCACACAGGACAGAAACAGGTAGCACTGAGGAATGATCAGATTTGCTTCCCTCCACGTCCCCTCCCCAACTTCAGGAATGGCTTTTTCTGTCGTTTTTTTTTCCTTTTTTTTT